GAGCCAAAAAAAAAAAAAAAATCTTAAAGTGGGAAAGGCTTTCCTAAGCATAAAACAAATCCCACAAAGCTGCAAAGGAAAAGACTACTAACTCTACACCACCACGAATTACTGCAAGACCAAAGAAAGAAAAAAGAATCCCTAAAACAAAATCAGAAGGTTAACTGGAGAAGGATTTGCCATACAAATAACATACAAGCAAAGGGCTAATTTGAAATGAATAGTCCAATAAACATATGCAATGGATATGAACAGGAGGAAATCAACAGAAAAGGCAAAGAAGCCCAAGAAAATCTGTTCAACCTCAATCATAATTTTAAGAATGCAAATAAAAACGTGATATCGGCTCGGCTCCTGTGGCTCAAGCGGCTAAGGCGCTAGCCACATAAATCTAAGGTGGCAGGTTCAAATCCAGCCCGGGCCCACCAAAACAACAATGATGGCTGCAACCAAAAAATAGCCGGGCAGGAGCCTGTAGTCCCAGCTACTTGGGAGGCTGAGGCAGGAGACTCGCTTGAGCCCAGGAGTTGGAGGTTGCTGTGAGCGTGATGCCACGGCACTTTACCCAGGGGGACAGTTTGAGGGTCTGTCTCAAAAAACGTGATATCATTTTTTCTCTATTAGACTAACATAATTTAAAAGTTTGAAATTATCCCAAATTGTCAACAATGCTGGGAGCAACCTCACTTGTACACTGGCAAAGCCTTTTTTGGAGGGCAATTTGATAACACCTGTCAAGATTTTATTTATTTATTTTTAGTTCATTTATTTATTTATTTATTTTTGAGACAGAGTCTCAAGCTGTCACCCTGGGTAGAGTGCCATGGCGTCACAGCTCTCAGCAATCTCCAACTCCTGAGCTTAAGTGATTCTCTTGCTTCAGCCTCCCAAGTAAGCTGGGACTACAGGCATCTGCCACAACGCCCAGCTATTTTGTGGTTGTAGGTGTCATTGCTGTTTGGCAGGCCTGAGCTGGATTTCATCCTGCCAGCTCAGGTGTATGTGGCTGGT